TGTCAGAAGTTGTGTTAGATAGAGTTATATTGACTATTTGTGCATGAGATTATAATGAGTGTAAGAACATAAAAACATGAAGAAGAACCGAGAGAGAAATATTTTATGCAAATAAACTTTACAAAAACCTCTTAAAATTATTGTCTTCTATTCTTAGAGTTAAGAGAGAATCTTCATTTATAAATCCTTTATTATGTGAAGTTTATCCTCTTGAATACATGAAGTTGTCTTATCCTTTCTTTGCGAAAATTAACTACTTGTAATCCTTATTAAACTCCAATTTGAAACGAATGGAGAGGCTTCGTGTACTCGTAAAGCTAGTACTAATTTCGTGAAAAAGAATATTTTGCCTACTAAGAGTGCTCATGTGAACTTGTTCTTTAACTCATGGAAAGTTAAAGGGTTGCCAAGAATGATAACATGCACTCATTGTAAGTCAAAAGTGACAATGAGTAATACTTGGTTGTATTTATTTGCTATAGTGAAACCCTTTAATAATTTGCTAGAATAGAACTTAATGTAGCTTATGTTGAGTAAACTAGTATAAAAATAAAGTGTTTGTGAAATATTTTTGAAAAACTTTTATCAATATCAAACAAGACCCTTGATTATCTAGTTAAACTTATTACAAAACTTTCAGTTAATTGACACCTTTAAATTATCTTATAATTTATTACAATTTTTTTTTAACTATATTCAAACCTCACATCTCTATAACTAACATATAATTTCAATTTCAAGATTTAGTAAGACTTTTTTTTATTCATTTCAAACAATGAGGTTGTATTTACACATCTTATTCTCTTTTACTATATTGTCTACTTCCTAAAAATATTTCACTTTGATTTCAATCTTTTAATGTTCAAAAACAATTTTTTCTCTTTTCTTTTAAAAATATAACTTTAATCACTCAGTTTCTTTTTAAGTTACTGTTCCCAGCAGTTAATTTTTCAACTTCAACCATCAACTCGTTAATGATCCAAATTGGTTTTTCACATATTTGAGTTCCTTATAAACATTTCTCAATAGACTCTTCAAATAGTAATTATACCATACGTAATTTGTGTACATTGGAAACATAATTCTAAGCTCTTCCCAATAAAATAACTTTTCCTCATATCAAATTTACTTGATATACAAGTATTTTAATTAAATTATTGTAAATGTGACAATATTAATGTTTTGTTTACATATAAAAAATCATCTTTTTCTAATTTCATTATATAAGTTTAATCAAATTATTTGAGGGTGATTTATAAATAAGCACACTCGTTGTGGCAACATAAGCTTTTAGGTGATGTTGATCGGGAGATTTTCACGTAGGTTTGCATAAATAGAGGTGTAAGAAGAAATATGAGTAGTACTAGGTTAGGATTAACTTTTTTAAAATGTAAGTATAGTGACTAGGGATGACAATTAAACATGTACCTGTGGGGACCGACCCGTCCCCACCCCGAGTTTGACGGGGAAAACTCGAGTTGACCGGGACGGGACGAGTTCGGGTTTTCCCCGCTTTAAAAGTCGGGGCGGGGCGGGATGGGTAATGCAATCTCCACCCCGACCCCGTCCCCGCCTCGACTTTATATTTAAATTTAAATTTTAAAATATTAATATTTTAAAAGTATTTCATTTTCTTTTTCTATTACATATAAGGGTATTTTTTTTATATTTCACCAATTTTTATTTTTCTTCTACCCACTTTTTAAATTTTTTTATCTTTTATATCAATTAATTTATTATATTATTCTCTCTTATCTTTCAGTTTTTCACATTTCCTTAATCTCTCCCATCAATTTTTTTTTCAATCTTTTCAACCAATTTGATGAATACAAAGTTAATTTTTTTTCTTCATATTTTACATAAATCTTAGTAGTAACTAATATTAGTTTATTTATAATTTATATTTATTATGTTTTATTATGCCATATTTTTTTTATCTTATTATGCTTATTTATCATATATCAAATTTTATCTTAATAAAATAATTGTATTTTAAAGGATTAAAAAGAATTAATAATTTAAACTTTTATTACTTCAAACTAATTAAATAAGAATTAAATTATTAAATATTTCCTTATAAACTATATATTTCATATTTTTAAATGACAACTTAAAAATGAATTAACTTATATATATATAATCAAATGTTTGAATATAATATTATAATAATAATGTTATAAATATTAAAATATTTGAATACAGTGTTATAATAATAATAATAATAATAATAATAATAATAATAATGTTATAAATATTAGATATATATATATATAATGATTAAATATTTCTTTTACATATATATTTTAATATAAGTATAATAAATTAAAATGTATATTTAATTAATAATAATTATAAATTATAAATATTTATTTATATATAAAAATACATAGTAAAATTAATTTATTATAAATGTAATTATCTTTTTAAAAATAATATAGATCGGGGACGGGCGAGGCGGAACCCGAAACCCAGCGGGACTGAAACTTAATTTCTAACCCCGCGAAATTGGGAGCGGGACGGAGATTGTTAAAAAGTCGGGGCGGGGATGGGAGACAAACCCGCCCCGCCTCGCTCGCCTCACCTCGTTGCCATGCTCGTACGGTGACAAGTATTGATGAATAATTTTATAATCAAATAATGTTATTAATAAATACAGAAAAAATATGAAAATGTAAAAAAAATATAAAATATTTTTCATTGAAATATATTTAATATTTTATTTTAATATTTATAGGAAAAAATTAAATAAAAAATCACTTGTATAAAATGGGTGCAGGAAGAAATGGTGCCCATTGTTTGTGGGGAATGCAGCTGTGTGTTAGGAAGTGGAGTGAATACTAGCCCAAAAGCAAATTAAAAAAAAAAAAATGCTACATGCATGGACTAACACTGCTTAATCATTTTAACACAACAATAATAATTATAATTTTACGGAATACTTATATTAAAAAATATTTAATTCTATACAGTGTTAGTTTAGTTCTTTTAATTATTATTTATATAAAACATTGTATTTTTTAAACTACCTTTTAGTCGTAAATATTAAAGATGACACTCGTAATTAAAAGTATTTTTAAAATAATAATACAATACAAAATATTGTAACTAAAAAATCTAGACTTTTATTTTTCAATTATTTTAGCATAAACCATTAATATTGTCACCAAAATTACATATATTTGGAGATATTTGTTAATGTTTTATAGGAGTAATTATTTCCAAATCACTTTAATTAATAAAGTAATAAACAATGAACAAAAATGGAAGATGAGAAAGATAAGTGAGAAAGTCGTAATTATTTTGCGTTGGTGATTCCAATCCAAGAAATCACAAATAAAGTTTCTTTATCGTAAAAGACCTTCGAGATCAATCAATAATAGCGCAACCTCACGCCGCAAAATTGAAAATAGAAAGAGATAACTATGCTTAGTGGATTCAATCATTATGACTTCCATCACATCAAAACCCCTCCATAACATTGTTTTTCTCTCCTTTCATCAATAATTCTCTCTCAACCTAAGTTATTATCTAATAATTACACGTAAAAAGTGAAATAATATTATGTATTATTAACATTTTATTTTAGTTATTTTTATAATTTAAATATTTTTTATTTTAATTATTATAATATAATAAAAATTAATAACAAATTATAACATAATGATTTTTATATAATATATTAGTTAATATGAAATAATTAAACACGTAATTAATTATATTAAAAATATAATTTATTATATATGTTTTTATTATTTATTTTCATTTAAATGTGGAAAATTAATAATTTTTTAAAAAAAGTCGTGTTTTTTTCTTGAAGTAATTTAATAGAAACAAACGACTGAAAGTTGTTTTTTTTTTTTTTTTGCCTTTGTTTGTATATGCTCTTTCGATTTCATCGTGACATTTTAAAATTCAAATTCATACTTTGCCTGCAATCACAGATAACTTTTACACTAAATTATAATTTTAGTTACTTTTAGTCTTCCTTTATCTTAACCTTTTAAAAGAAATGTCAAATTAATTTAATATTATATATATATATATATTTTTTTTTTAAATCTAAAATATTAGGAAAAGTGTAGACATTGAAATTATTTATCCTTGTTTTGATTAAAAGATGAATTTAAGTTGATAGAAAATAATAAATTTGAGAAGAAAAAGAAATAAAAATAAAAATGTATGAATTAAAAAAAGATAATAGAAAATATAGTAAAATAAAAAAAATGGTGAGTAATTTAATTGATGTGAATGATAAAAAATATTTTAATAATTATTTTAAATGACTAAATTACTTCTTTAATAATAATAATAATAATTGATTTTTAGTCCTTTGAGAATGAAGTCTCTCTGCGAAGAATCATTGTGTAAATGAAGTTGTTTTCATCTCCTCGGTCTACCGATTCTACCGAAAATCTTCTGTCTGTCTTCTTCCTTTAAAATCCGGGTTCTCAAATTCAAACAGAAAACAAATACAAAATAATTTATTTTTCTATCAAATAATATATAATAGTATATATCGTTGGAAATAAATATAATTTTTTTTTAAAACAGAGTGACACAAATATATGTAAATTAACATGATTTGACAAGGTGGAAGAAGAATAAAAATGAAGATACGAGTTGCTTTATTATTCCGTTGAAACGCATATAGAAAAGGAAAGAGAGGAGTGGATTACCGAGTAAGCATATCATGTGTCCATATATGCCAAGACAGTATCTACTTATGCACTTATTTTCTTTTGGCCCCTTTTTGTATAGATTAGGGTCATTTGTGCTTCTACCATTGGATACGAGATATGGATAATAATAAGATAAATGACTTATATAAAAAAATATATATTGTCATATTTAATAAATATATATATATATATAAAATTCATTTATACATTATTCAACTTTCTAAACTTGGAAATATATAAAAATATACCTATGTGTGTCCTTTCTATGTTTCCCACTTCGCTTATTAACGATTAAATTTTCATCATCACTTCTCTATCACCATGGCTCAAACCCAGTGTGAGCCTCCCACACCTTCCTCTTCCTTTGGCCCCATCATAAGCACACCACGTGATGACCAAGTTGGTGGCTTTGATGGGATGGTTCTTATTGCAGCCATTGTATGTGCTTTGGTGTGTGCTCTTGGCCTCAACACTATGTTGCAATGTGTCTTCCAATGTGCTTTGCGTGTCCTGACGCAACCACGCCAATGGATTGCTTCTCGTAGGCTGAATTGTGGTCTGAAGAGGAAGGAAATGGTGGCTTTGCCAACCTCAACCTACACGCACTCTGCCTCTCCATCTTCATCACCTTCCACTTGTGTGATTTGCTTGGCTGAGTTCTCTGATGGGGACCCTGTAAGGTTCCTACCAAAGTGCAACCACTATTTCCATGTGATTTGCATCGACGAGTGGCTCCTCTCTCACTCTTCTTGTCCTACTTGCAGGCACCTACTCAACTCAAATCATCATCTTCAATCCTTACATCCTGACATACCTTAGTCATTTACTAAGTTACTTCCACTTCACACCAATCTTTGGGCCTTGTTTGTTTTCTTCGTACATCTAATATACTTTGCACGTCCATAATTTTAATTTTAGATGATTAATAAGCATAAATATTCTTGTATTAGTAAATTCATGCATTTAATAGTGATTATTATTTAGAAAACAACAATAGTCTTTTTCTTTTAAATAATAAAATTTTGGTATAAAATGAAAAATAAAACGATTAAATTTTTTTAATAGGATCAATTTTCATAAAAATATTTTAAAAATAATTTTTTTTATAAACATATAATATTTTTATCTTTATTTTTTATTTCATATCAATTTTAAATAATAAATATTTTATTTTAAGTATTATTTTGTACTATATTTTATATTTATAACAAATCATTATATATTTATGATTATTATTATAATAATATTATTTATCATTTTTTATTTAACACGATATTAAATCTTTAAATCTTAAATTTATGTGTTTATTAATTTAATGGTTGATTTAAATTTAAAAAAATAGATATTTTAAATCTTAAATCTATGTCTTCAAATCAAAGAATAGATGATTATATATAATTTAAATTACTTTTTATCTTTGACTATTTTAATTTAATTCCTAAATACGATGGCATAACTTTATATAAAACAAATTGAGATGTCCTTTGAGTTAACGAAACGATAGAAGGTGAATTGTACAAACATGATTACATTATCCTACTTGTAGTATTATATGATTGAAATCATGTTTTTTTTTAATACACGATCATATAATTCATTATATTTTAAAATTAATGAATAAATTATTAATAATTGATAAAAATAGATGATTTTGTTTTAATCCTTTTTTTCAATAAATTTACGCATAAATAAATAAGGTGGATGAATAATGAATAAACTTCATTCGTAACATTATTTCTGGTTTCGTAGCTTTGCCTAAACTAATGAACGAACTTCCTGACACATTTATTCGACATATATAAAAGAAAAAAAGATTGCTCTACGAAATCATGGACAAAGTTAACTTGTTTGCAATATGATTGTATCAGTGATTATCTCATATATATAATCCTAAAAATAAAAATAAAAATGATGTTTTAATTTATATAAAATATTAAGAACTTAATTTAAATAAATTTGATAGTAATATTTTATAATAAAAAAAGAGTGAATTGTTACTTTCCTTCTTCATCAATAACAAGTATTTATTACTAGAGATTGACAACTAGATGTATCAGTTAAAAGGGTGTGTCAATGCTTTTCAATATCGATTTAAATTGGGATATTATCAAAATTGTGTTAAGGAGGAGAATATTTTGAAGACAATGTTTCAAATATGCTTTCAACATTTTAAGTATTGTTATGTCATTTCCTCTAATCAATGTTTCTTAAAGATGTCATAAAAAATTAAAAGGTTATGTTTTAATTTGTATATATATTAAGAATTTAATTAAAAAATATCTATAAAGTAATTTTAATAAAAATAGTAAATTTGTAATTTAATATCCAATTTTGTATGTAGTCCTCAAACTTTACTTCTTGAAATAAAAGATAGTTCAAATAAATATCTTTCGAAATTTCAGGATTTTATTTAGGTTTTTTTTTTCTCACCTTATCTATATTATTATTATCAATAAAATTTTAGATTAAGAACCTAAAAATAACCAATGTAGAAACTTAAATAAAAATCTAAAAAAAAGAGAATTTATTTGAGTATTCTTTAATTTCAGGGAAAAATACAATAACAAGATACAATTTCAGAGCTCACACACAAATAAAAAAAAATATTTAATTATAATGCATAATTAAACTAAAAATTTATATCATCAACTAATTTGAAATTATTTTACATGAAGCCTTTAAATTACTTGCTACAAAACTTAACTATTTTTAATCAAACAGCAATTTAAGATGAAAACAAGACACTTTTTTTTCACACCATAACTATATTTTACAATTAAAAAGAAAGTAATAAAACAATTATGCATGACATATTCCTCTCTAACTGAATATTCTCTCCGACAGATGCAAGTGTGTGATAAAGCCACATTGATTCTGTCACTTTGTGTGGATTAAGATTTGGTGACTTTATAAACAATAAAAAGCTATAATTTACATTTGAATTAGATTAAAGGCAATGACCAAAAGTTCCCACTCATGAATGATTTTTAAGTTGCCCTAGATCGTTGAGCCCACCTGAGTGACCAATAATGAGGAAATTGAAGCAATTCCCGACAGCAAATAAACATCAAGCTCCGGCAAATTACCCAGAATTAAGGCAACGCAGCCAAATGACAAGACAAAATCTTACGACAGGTAAAAACATTTTAACTTGAGGTTTAAACTTTAAATTAAACAATAATTGACATAACAAAAATCCGTTGTAGTCTAGTTGGTCAGGATACTCGGCTCTCACCCGAGAGACCCGGGTTCAAGTCCCGGCAACGGAATTATTTTTATGTTATCGTGAAAGCAACGCCTTTTAAATTTTTCATCCAACAGAAATAACTCATCAAATGTTAAACAGCAACCCTGAAATTAATTTTATAACATGCTGGAAAAATAAAAAATTATTCATATATATCCTTTAATAACAACTTTTTCATATATATATATATATATTTTTTTTTCAACTTTTTCATATATATATTTTTTCATCATTTTCATAATAACAATTTTTTATTGTTATTTTGTAATATCAAATATTATTTTTTATTTATTTATACTATTAATAGATAATATAATATACATCAAATTAATAAATTATTTGATCATATTCAATTATTTATTTAATAAATATTAGAACATTTATTTGTTTATCACTTCATAGTTTCAATACTAAATCATGGGCCTTCAACATCTAGATGAAATGAAATAATAAATATTTTACTTTTAAGAATCAATTACAAAATATATATAATAATATTTGATGATTGCTTATTGAAAATCATTGCAAGTATCCAATATTCATTGGACTAGGTTTACAAGTGTTTGGAATCAAAATATAACAAATAACTTGTTAACTAATATGATAAAAAAATTAGAATTTTTTAATTAATAGATTAATGTAATATTAAGCATTAAAAAAATCCTATTTGAATCATATAATTTATAAATATAAAATAATAAATGAGATCTTTTAATATATATATATATATATATATATTTATTTATTGATAGATTGTTATTTTTCTATTAATAATAATAATCTTATCATCAATGATAATTTAAATTATAATTATAAGATATTTATTTTTCATTTATCATACTAATTTCTTCTTAAATAATTAAGAATGGTTTTAACCACTTTTCAGTATTCCTCACTAGGATGTGCTTGATATAAATTAATTACACTTAGTATATAAGTATCATCAACCACTGCGTATGTAATAACTCTCACTACAATTGATTTTTTCATCTTAAGATGATATAAATGTAGATTAATTATAAGAATATAAGCTATTTTATACCTTTGGATAATCAACTAATTTTCGCGGATATGAATTTAATTATCAATGAATAAAAATTTAATTAAAAAAAACACATTTCATGTCATAATTAATAATCAATTACAAATTTTCGTTGTTGTTGTTATTAATCATAAATTATATTATATCATATATATATATATATATATATATATGATATTTTGTTATTAATTATTAATTTAAAATAATATTATATCATATACAAATCTCATTTTATAAATAAATTTCTATTACAAAATCCATGTTATTAGGTTGTACATTGTATTTAATTCTTAATTAAATTTGTATCATATAAATATATTATATTATCTCAAATAATAGTCATCCATGCATATAATATTTTCATAGGCAAAAAATATTACAACTTTTAAAACTACAATATAAATTCATTGAAAATTGACCAATATTTAATAATTCAATATTAAATATATAATAATTACAAAAAAATATTTATTTATAACAATTTTTAAAAATCTTAAAACATAAAAGGATAATGATAATAATCACCCAAGTACATGTATAATGATTCCTCCACCACAACTTACATAATCAAAGGTTTATTGTCATTTCCAAAAAACATAAAAAATTAATGATTAGTACAATGCGTAACCGAAGTTCTAGATCTCATTCTTAACCTCAACATAAACATCAAAATAAAATAATGTCATAAATTTTGCAATTTATTGTTTCACCTCCAATTGCAGAAGCAAATAGTAAACAATATCACTATAAAAAACTAAAATATGCATTACCTTTCATCATAGCATTACATTACCCTTATGAACTTATTCTTATACTCAATACAAAGTGAAATAATAATTATGAACTCTCTCTCATGGATATTCTTCCTTCCAATGTGAGTTTCCAATATCACACATACACGACGATTTAAAACGTAGTCAGTTTTGGCCCACCCGCCTTTAGCCCTTCAAAGCGAGGATGGGACTGATCGACCCGTTATAGTCATGACGGTCAGTAGACTTTGGGTTGACGGACTAACCCACTCAAAATTTAGAAAAAAATAATTTATTTTTTAAAATAATTTTTTTAATAAATTTAATAATAAGATTATTATTTATTTGTCAATAATTCAATATATATATATATATATATATATATATTTTATTTCAATTTAATAATATAAATCAATATATTGTTTTAAGAAATTATAATTTAGAGCAATAATAAAATTTACATAATAATAAATAATAACAAATATATATATATATATATATATATATATATATATATATATATAACATTAAAACTTATAAAATTTATATTTTTTATATTGAAAAATTCAAATACCTATATCTTTTTTATTTGATAAAACTTCATATTATTCTTGGTTGAGTAATTCTTACACCTTTAATTCAAGTCATAAGGATAAAAATAATCGGTGCTTAGGATGAACAAGGAGAACAAGAGAGAGAATATTGTGTTTCGAGTAAGGAAAATATTTTCTATGAGAGTGAAACCTTTTTAATTCTCTTTTTAAAATTTTTAACTTTA